TTTGTTTCTAGCAGTTAATGATGAATTCTCAACACAGCGAAACACGTTATGTCTTATTGTGAACGTATTATCTAGGTAGTTTTTTTCTAATAGCTTACTTTGAGCAACAGATATTGGCAACATTTCTTGAGGAGGGTTTTTATTTAGAAGCGTACAAAAATACACTCAACTGACATTAATGACATTTCTAAGCACACTTTGATCATACAATCATTCACTTAATTTCGGAAGTGATTAGAAAACTTATGGTCCACTGTATCATAAATTTTATCGAGATTACCGTACACATCAATGAGAAACAGTCGATCTAAAACCACTCTATTCGGGAACGTGGCTTCGAGTGAAGTTCAGGATTACCGAGCTGTATAAAGTCCTTGAGGGTATCACGACTGCCAGTGATGATGATGAATGGGAGGTGTGTATTCAGCTAAGACAGCCATTATGTTGTCTACGAACAGGGGTTGCTAAAACCGCTTATTAAATAAGAAGTGCCTATGAATTTTCATGAACGCTTCTTAAACGAAAGCAAGAGATTGATTGGTATATTAATGTTTGTAGTACGTTTCAGAACAGTCTGTTATATGTATAGAGTTTAGAAGAACATATTATTATTACAGATAAATATATGAAATTAAAAGATTATTAACATATTAAACATAATCAAAGTCGCAGAAATAAATGTAATTGTCTTATACTCCATACATTTTATTATCCAATATGTTTAATACGGGTGTAATATGAGTACACCAAAAGATTTACACCATCTAGCGGAAGTTACTTTACGGAAATATTATTTTTCGTAAATTTTGATATTTTTTATGGCAAACAACTATCATCATCATCATCATCAATTAACCGTAATTTGTCTATCATTGAACACAAACCTCTTGTTTGCCTGTGGTCTCTACTGAAGTATTTTTTTTGTTGATCTCCATTTTTGGTTACAATCTAATCCAAATTATGATTAGATTCTAAGTTTAGTAAGTAGGATTAGAAACTTAAATCAAATAGATTGTAAGTCGAACATTTTTTTCCACAAACCTGTTCAATTTAATAACATTTAAAGGGTTTTTACAAATAACTTTAGTGGCTTTACACATGTCGACACCTGATATGAATAACTATATATATTTCAACCCCCGATAAATGCCTCTTTTTCTTTAAGAGGACGTCTTCGGTGCTGTATTTAGTTAAGCACTAAGCGTGCCGTTCATTTTTCACGTCTTTTTGTTTGCAATAAAACAAAATCCTATTTAATATTTTATGAGCATTTATCAAAAATAATCCCTTAATTTAATGATAAAATAACACATAGCGTCAGATTGTTGGCTTTATTCTTTTATGATGAAAGTTTCAGAAAAGGGCGCGACAATTTTATCTTTCTATAAGAAAAGACATTATGAAAATGACTTTTTTGATAATAGATAGAAAGATAATTTTTTCTGCGGTCTTCTTTGCCCTTTCTTTTAGGGTTTTAATACGGAACTTTATGAAAGTTGGCAAAGCTGCCGTCTTTATCGAATTTATGAAAGTCGGAGATATTCGCGACATTATTTCTCGATTTCTAGGTACATTTTTAACGTCATATAATATATGTATATATATATATATAATATATATATATATATATATATATATATATATATAATATTAAATTTGGAATTAGATTTTATTGTCAATTGAAATTAACGTTTCGGCAGGAAACCCTTGCCTTTGTCAAGATTCTAAAATATATAAGATTAGTAACAAAAAGTTGTTGTAAAATTTAGAAAAATATATATTATATATCTATATTGGACGCACCAGCCCACTGTTTCAATCCAGAATACGTTCTCACAAATATGACAAGAACAACAGCACTGTGCTCACAAAATATAAAAATGAAAAGAAGCATAAATTTGACTCCGAAAACAATAAAATTTTAAAAACCGTACAAAACAAAAAGAATAGTGAGATATACGGATCAATAGAAATAAACAGAAATATCAACAAAACTAATGACAAAAAAGATAGACAGAACCCAAATAAAATATATTTCAATCTGATTTAAATAGTAATAAGAAATATTACACCATAATATCTCTTAATGTCATAATATAAATATCTCCACTGTACATTTTTCGAAAACACCATCGATACGCCCATATAAAAATAATTATATACTAATAACAGTAAACCATGACATATCAGATATCTATTTTCACTTGTGTCAATTCAATAATGTCAGTGTCCCGTTTTACGTTTTGGCAATTTTTTTTATATATTGTACAAAAACTTTTTGTTCATATGAAAACAAACATCTAACAAACAATCACATTACACCAATCTCTACTTCATTGGATCAAATCTATCTCCTCAAGAACTTTCCGTTTATTGTCAAACAACTTCAATAGCAGACTTAAGTTCTCCATTCAACAATACATGATAGTTTCAACCATGTTCTACCATCCATAAATTAATAGAGTACCGGCATGTAAGTAATGTTTATTTATTTGCTCATTTATTAATTTATTACAATCTAATAGACTATTTTATAACAATTTGTGGGTCTTACCTTGTCTGTTAAAACTTTTTATACCATTTTATTCCTTTCTATTCATTTTGAAAAACCACAGACATGTAATATTGGCATAATTATTGTAATTTATAACATCTGTAACGACTATTTTGCTTACCACAGGGTAAGAATATGGGGGACAAGATTGGGCAAACAAAATAATCGAAACAAGTGCATACGGACACTCAGTTGGTTGTTGGAGAGCTGGGTCGTGGATAAGTTGAAGATATTGGGGGTTGGATTGGGGCAACTACAAAAAAAAAATAAAGGGGTACTTATACAAATCTCTTGGGACAAACAGAATGAAAATAAACGGAAACACCTCAAGAAATTTAATATAGGGCGCCACTTGAGGTGCCCAATTATACCTATTACAACCACTAGTTGTAACTAGGGAAATAATTGTATAACATCAAAAATATAGAAAAAAGTATCTTTTTCAAATAAAACTCAAAATAGATCAGAGAAACAAATTAAACATTTATTTTTGTCTCAAACAAAACAGATCAAAAATACATATTATAAAAGAAACATGTCATATAACATAATACAAATATCAAAAACTTACATGTTCTTTGTTTACTATATTATGGCCAATTCGATTATCAAAAATTAAGGATCCTTCTTAATGAAAACATATATATTTAACCTTATATATGAAATATCGTTTCTACATAATAATCAAATTAAAATTGTCATAACAGAAACAAAACAAATTAAGCTTGCTGTCAGGTATCACATTTAATTTTGATGACAAAGAATGAAAGCAATTATTACTTTAGCCAAAAAATATCTGTCTTTACTTTGAAAAATTAATATATTGAATTGTTACCTTAATGTTTTTTTTATATACAAACACTTTGAAACTTTACATCTCTGGGGAAGCTACTCGGACAAAACTTTCAAAACTGGAAGGCAGCAACCATCAGGAACTAGTTCTACACTCCAGGACAAAACGATTGGAACAGGAACTTAGTGGAAGAAATAAGCCGACTACGGGGATATCCTATATCATATTTCTTAGAAACTTCCGGTATTTATTCAAATCTGATAGTATTATCATTGACCGGTCCTAAGACATTTCAAAAGAAATTAAATCCTCTTTGATTCACAAATGGCCCAACATTTCACATCCGCAAAAAGCGTCTACCACCATTTCAAATAGGTTCTTGGACTCACATTGTAGCACGTCTGCTCTGCTTCAAATCTAATCGTCGACCTATTGTCACATGTCTGCTCTGTTTGAAACTTAAATCTCGACTCCGTTTCAAATCTTTGACTCCATTCTCACATGTCTGCCCGCTTGGAACTTAAATGTCGACTTCTTGTCACATGTCTGCCCCGTTTGGAACTCAAATCTCGACTTTATTGTCCATGTCTGCTCTGTTTGAAACTTAAATCTCGACTCCGTCTCAAATCTTGACTCAATTGTCACATGTCTGCCCTGCTTGGAACTTAAATCTCGACTCCTTTTCAAATCTTTAACTCAATTGTCACATGTCTGCCCCGTTTGGAACTCAAATCTCGACTTCTTTTCTTCGTTACATTTTACAAGAAACTCCCCAAAAATTTCCCTTCCGTCTTGCAGCTAACCTGTCCCCACAAACTAAAGAACCAAAACAATATCCCCTCGCTCCTATCGACAAAAAACCTTTTAAATATTCCTTTATTGCGTTTTTAGACGCCAGTATTGGTATCCTAAATAAACAAATATTCTTTTTGACTCTCATTCTAATAACGAAAAACAACTTTTTGTCAACTGGAATATTAGGGGGAATTCATGTAACATAACACCTCTTTGGCGACAAAAAACTGTTTGTTTCACCTAACATTGTAACACAGAGATAAAAACATATTTCCAACGTTAATACGCATTTAAAAATCTCGTCAAAAAAAACTTGAAATATTTACAACGTACCTACATTTAACTTTATTGATCGATTTCTTGGTAGAAACAACAGGGACGTACCATAGAAATATTTTATATGCACTTTAAATAAAAAACGCTACACATCTAATTTGTTTATCTTTATTAGACAACACCCTAATATGGGTTTTTAATATTTCAGCATTTATTTAACTTTGTATCGAGACCTGAAGATGCTTTGCATATTGTAGAAAGCGAAACCGTTCGTCTGATAGTTAAATTAAGTTGATTGTGAGTAAGTCTTATTTATTATTTCTTTACCTATTTGAAATGGACTCACACAAGCAACACATTCATGATTTTTATTATTTTTCTTCCAAGGGCTTCTCGGGCAACATCCAGAAGTTTTCTTCAGCTCAAGTATAGTAATTTGGAAAGGGATAAAAAACCTTTTAATTTAGTTTTTTTTTGTTAAATCTTCAGTTTATCAAAGCAAAATGTTCTAGATATATATATACAATATAATCTTAAACACCTACACAATAAAATATATTAAACTGAAAAAGAAAAACTTACACAGGACTGCAGAGATAAATGATCGCTTTGATGTCGCTGAGATATTTCATTTGTCCCTTCAGCAGGATATTCCTTAATCCCGGCTGGCTGTCTCGTCTCATGGAATACGGAGATATGCTCTTACCGTCGATTTCTATCTCTCTATTACACAAGCCATCCCCCAAGGTGTCCATATCGTTCGGAGACGACTGTATGCTACTCAGTCTGGATTTGATCAGCTCCGTACGGAGCACTTCGATCTCGAACGTAACTGATTTTAAGCATTGAAGCTAAAAGGGGAAGGATATTAAGACTTTATTGTTATAGTACGTCTAGAAAATATGTATATTGTAATGTACTTGTAATGTAATTTCTTTTTATGTATAATGTCCCGTTGAAATGTGTCTTTAAGGATGTTTTAGTTGAAAATGTATCAAACAAAAAACTTTTTTTGTTAGTTAAAGCTCAGCAGCAAGATGATTCCATTTAGGCGAGGAGACGAAGCACTAAACCTAAAAATTTTCCGCAGCAAGATGAATAATAATTGTGAAACATTTTATATTCGAATCGGAAAAGTAACAGGAAAGTTTGTTAACACAATTCATGGTGGTAACAGAAAAAATTTCATTTTGTGCATAAGAAAATGCATTTCCAAAGTACATAGAAAATTAAAAAATTGCAATTAAATAAATATTGACAGGTATGAGTTTAATTTTATTACTTAAAGGTTTACGAGGTCGTTGAACATGAAAATAATTTTGTTCACGAACTTTACGAACACGGACACAAATCGAATGCAAAAAATTGGTACTTTTTAGTGCTTTAATTCCTGGCCTAATTAGAATTGTCTAAATTTTGACAAAATATCGAAGTGTATGAATAGGAGCACTTAGTTTTTTTTATTTAATTAATGGCTTTGGATCACTTGATCCATTCAGCCTCGATAATGTATTTGACTACTTGAATTTGTTATTGATATATTGACCTATTGCATTTGTTAATAAAATAGTACTTCACCTAGAGGTAAATTAAAAATATACTGTAAACATCAGTATCACAAGAATCAGTAAATTTACAAGAAACCATACTTTCATTCGTTCCATTCAGGGTCCTAACTAACTTAAAGTGAATGTTTAAAACCAATAAGGGATAATATAATAAAGGGATACTTTTCACGCTAAGGTGCCTTTCATAGCGACTTTATTACAACACAAGACAGGCAACGGCTAGGAGGTAAATATATAACACAATTACACATTCGATCCCAAATTTTTCCTTTAGTCCTTTTTAAATATCCCCAAAAAATTTGGTATCCCCAAAATATTATGACGAGAGATATATAAAATAGAAGATTGACACTGAGGAAGAGGTATTTGTTATTTTATTAAATTTTCCAGTAGATACTTAATAGCAGCATCATTGCACCTGAACATCCAATTGACCTGAAAATCCACCTGAACCTGAATATATGCACCTGAACATCCAATTGATATCATCAGTGTTACCATTACAATCGCAAAGTTCTGTTTCACTTATATTAAATATATGAAGATAGGCTTTCACAGTAGCATAATTAACAAGGCATCTAACAAACATTGAATCTATTCTTCTATTTGTAAATTTTTGTATAAAGGTTGTTACTTCTGTTACAGAAAGCATTTCATTCAATTTCCCAGTTTTTTTTAATTCTTGTTTACGCAGCGAGACTAAATCACTTCTATTGAGCCAACTAATTTCTACACTTAGTTTTTATAGTGGAATAACGGTCTTTCCTAACAGTTCATGAAATCCAACATTATTGAAGTATATGTTACTATGAGGTATAAATATACTAAAAAAAAGTCATTATAATAAAGAAAACTATACCACAAAATGAGTGTTCTTGACACAGTTTTTCAATTCCTTGCAGAATTAGCAACAGAAATACTTCAACATGATAAAAGTATGCTATTATATGGATGTGAAACTTGGCGATTAACAAAAAAAAACAAAGAAAGATAGAAGTTACGAAAATGGACGTATTGAGGCGATATATAACGTTTTCTAGAAGAAAGTAGATGAAATGAAGGAAGACGGACACCTACAGGCTACAGGAGGACAGAAGACAGGAAGATCAAAGCAAACGTGGATGGAATAAGTAAGAACAAAAAAGAGAATTATATTTAATAAAATGAAATCAGTGCAGGCTGCTTTGACAAACTACAGAGAAATAACCTTATTTTTGCACTATATTGGTAAAATTGTAGGTGTACTTGGATAAAGGACTAATCTAAGGAAATTCCTAAACGAGATTAAACAGTTTGGTTTGAAATTAAAAAAAACATGTATAACCCTTGTAAACAAACTGCTGGTATATGAAGTAGCTGATAGAACTGAAACGAACAGACCTATGTTTTGCAACTGTGGGTACACCCTTTACCTTTTCCAAGGTACTTTAACAAATATAAATATTCAAGTTGCTTGTAAAAATGGTTAAGAGAAAATCATTTAGGTATCAGTTTTTCATTATTATTATAATGGTTTTTACGTCTTGTCTACCTAGTAATGCTTCCTCTGTTTGGTGGCATCATTATCCAAATTAATTACTATTTAAATGGAAATAAGCCACAATTGAAGATTAAAGTACGTTTCTCAAGTTCTCAAAATACAAACATTGGAAAAGGTTCTCAAAAAATCGCTTTCCGAAGTGGAAATTAAAACGTCAATAAACGTACTTTGACCTTTAATTGTGGTTTATTCAAATTTAAATAGTCTTCTTCTTCTTCTTCAAGTGCCGTCTTCGTTCCGAAGTTTGGCTATCATCAAAGCTATGCGGATTTTTGATGCTGCAGATCTAAACAATTGGTAATTGGTGCAATTGTACCATTCTCTCAAGTTTTTCAACCATGAATGCCTTCTTTTTCCTATAGATCTCTTTCCCATTATCTTTCCCTGTATAATCAATTGCAGCAACTGGTATTTATCTCCCCTCATAACATGTCCCAAATATTGGAGTTTGCGCTTTTTAACAGTAAGTATCAGCTCTTTCTCTTTCCGCACTCTCCGCAAAACCTCCACATTTGTTACTTTCTCTGTCCAGGGTATTCTTAATATTCTACGATACATCCACAACTCAAATGCTTCTATCTTTTTGGTATCGATCTTTTTCAATGTCCATGTTTCCATCCCGTAGAGGAGAACTGACATAACGTAACATCTCAAAAGGCGAATTTTAAGTTTTAGACTTAGATCTCTTCCGCAGAACACCTTTTTCAATTTAGTAAATGTGGCTCTAGCTTTCTCTATTCTGGTTCTCATTTCTTCAGAGCAAATAGTAATTAATTTAAAATGCCACAAGAAAATAGCTTCAGAACAATATCATTATCCAAGTTGTTATCTTCAGTTAACTCTTTAATATTGTTTAATATTAAATTTTGTTCTAGTGGATACTAAAACTTCGTTGTATACAATTGCAGTTAATATGCTTAACAACTTAAAATTTCGCAAAATGTGCATGTTGCTCTATCAACTAAAGTTCAAAGTAACAAACCATCTCTGATTACTTTAAGTTATAACTTCTGTAACGCTAAAACTACTTTTGTTTGGTAATCAGTAGATTGAAATTAAGTTTTTGCTTGCCAGTAAGCAAAAATAAGTCATTGATTCATACACCAATGTATTTTTACACTTGGTGGAACACGAATATTGCCCTATTCGTATTTTTTTATTATTGTCCGTAAGAGTTTTTCTGTATGTTTCCCATTTCGGCAGTTCATTATCTTTATTCGATAGCCTTCTTACATGTTTTCTTAGTCTTTCCAGTTTTCTGTTCCACCAAGGCGTTTGTCTGTTATTCGTCCTAGTTTTAATTGGGTAGTTATCCTGGTACAATGTGAGAATTGCTTTCCTCATTACATCATTCGCCTCTTCAGTATCTAAACATGTTTTGATGTCTTTGTATACGTTATCGGTTTAAGATATTTTCAAGAGTCTTCTATAAACCCATATTTCAAAGGCTTCTAAGCGTCTTAAAGAATGTCCAGGTTTCACAGCTATATAAAAAAAATTAGTTAAGATATCGGTGAAAAAAAGTAAGTGTCAATTGAAGTTAGGTGACTTTTGACAAAGAGTATAGATCTCTTATTTTGTTAAGTACTGATATTGCTTATTATATTGGAGACATAACATCTTAATCAGGATCTAACTCCAAACTTATCCAGCAATTGAGATATTTAAATTTGATGGATATGTTTTGTTACATAAGAATAATAAGAATTCTATGAATTCTTAAAATTTGTGTGTAACAAAGCGAGGAAAGACGCTTTAACATAGAATTAATAAGAAATCAAAGTATGCGCGTATCCAAATACAACAAACTATTTTGAAAACATCTTTAGACGAAAGACTCAAGAGGTAAAAGAAGAACAAGTTGTGACGTGTCTCCTGTAATTTATCACAATGATCAATCACAGTTGTTTTTTTATTTCTACTATTTTAAATACTACAACTAAAGATATTTTAAATCCAATAAAAAATATGCAATACTTACATTTTTCCACGTGAAAGATATTCCCTTTGGTGTCCTTAATTTAAAATACTTCGTCAACGGCTTCCCAAGAAGTTTGTTTTTGTCACCCGCAACTTCCACTAACTTTTCTCCAACACCAATTATCGTTAGAGTCGGATCTAGTAGTACGGCAAACGGAAAAAGTTCGAGAAGAACGCAACAGGAAAACGGGGGCAGGTCGCATTTAATCTGGGTCGCCTCTTCTGCTTGTTTGTTCAATATCTACCGTAAATTGGAAATTTTTAAAAAAATATTATATTTTCAGCTTTAAGTGTCTCTTATTTTAAAGTTATATAATAATCGAAGATATTTTTATCGAAAACAAAATGTTCTATGTTTTCTACACGAATATTTCCAAGCTTTTCTAATGTTGCAAACTAAAAATTTTAAGTAACAATAAAACACTGAAAGCTTTGTTTTCAAAACTTTCACAAAATTTATTATAAAATCTTATCACTATAGCTGTTTCGACAGAGTGCCTTTATCAAGTGATGTATTTTTGGTATGCGTTTACACTTTATAGTCTTTAATGAAATAGGCTGAGGAGGGGAGAACTGTTTATCTCAAGTTGGTCATTCAGTATTATATCTGTGTTTTTTAATTTGTTAATTTCCACAGGTTTTAACAAAGATAGCTAAGGCCTTTATTCTGCATGTGAAGAATTTGAAATTCGTTATTAAAAGAATGGTTATGATCCAGAAGGTGAAGTGCGTATGTAGAATCTGTTTTTAAATTATTGAAAACCCTTTTATGTTCTGCTATTCGTTTATTAAAATTTCTACCAGTTTGATCGATGTAAGTTTTGGGGCAGACGCCACATTTAAGTTTGTATGCACCACTGTGTTAGTACTTTTTATTTTGTCTCTTGTTGTTTTTAATATACTTGCCTAAGTTATTGTTAGTTCTGAAAGCTAGTGTTAGTCCTTTCTTTTTTATGTGTTTGGCTATTTTTGTTGATATTTTTCCTGTATATGTAATCGAGCAGAAGGAGGTACCAATTTCAGGGCTTTCTTGTGTAGTTTTTGATTTAAAATTTTATTAATTGTTTGTTTGTTATACCCATTGTTTACTGCTATTTGCTTAATAATATTTAATTCTGTCTCAAAGTTGTATTTTGACATCGGAATCTCTGTTAATCTATGTATCATACTATGATAGGCTGCCAGTTTATGTTGTGTCGGATGAGAGGATGAATTGTGTATAGTCGTATCAGTATGGGTAGGTTTATAAAATATGGGGAGGTCATGTTTGTTTTTAAGGCCTTTTAAATATAGTTTTGGTTTTTTAATTTAACATAGTTTTGGTCTTACAGACCCTCGCTTTCTTTCCAGAATTTCTTTTTCCTTCCAATTTTTATTAATAGGAAAACTGTGTTTCTGCTTATGTTAAAATGTTTTACTGGGTCTGCTAGTGCCCAGTTATCTTTTGTTGAGTTAAGTCGTTTATTTTATTCTTTAATAATAATAAAAATAATAACAACAACCCTAGTTTGTCATCATCATCCAATGTTTAGTTTGCAGGACACAGTAAGGATTCTTTATTTCGAGATGAGTGAACATTTTTATACCCGTTTAAATGTAGTACGAAAAGCAAACAAAGCAAACAGTCCCAGAAACTACTGGGGTGTCAGCATTCGTCATTTATGGAGCATATTGGAGGCTGTCGAGATGGAGTTACTATTCGAATCAGGGGCTTGTTTGGATTGTGATGTCCTTTCCAGAGTGCATGTGTGTGTTTTTTGAGCTAGATGCATAAAAACTACCATTTATATACTCTTTATAAAATGAAAGAATACAAAATAATATCAAAATTTAGACCTTAATAATTATTACAATTTATGAATCAACATATTTACTCAATTGTTTTTTGTTTGTTTATTTATTTTATTATTTGTCTGTCATAATCAATATAGTCGCTGATATATAGGGAGATATCAGGGACCTTAGAAACTACCGCCCCATTAGCTTGTTATCACAAGTATATAAGCTATTTACAAGAGTTATTACTAACAGGCTAGGAAGTAAGTTGGATTTCTATCAGCCAAGAGAGCAAGCAGGTTTTAGAGCAGGATATGGCACGAATGATCATTTACAAGTAATTAAGAACTTAACAGAAAAGAGTTTTGAATATAACAAGCCATTAGTCATGATATTTGTTGACTACGAAAAAGCTTTCGACACAATAAGTCATCGAAATATGTTAAAAGCCTTAACAGAGTGCCGTATAGATCATCGCTATATAAACATGATAAAATACATCTATCAAAATGGGACAGCAAGCGTGAAACTGGCAGATAAAAAGACCAACGTATTTAAAATAAAACGGGGAGTGCGACAGGGAGACAGAATTTCGCCAAAATTGTTTACAACATTATTAGAGCATATGTTTAAGACCGCAAATCTGAGTGAAAAAGGAATTAATGTCAATGGAGAAATGCTTAGTCATTTGAGGTTTGCTGACGATATTGTCCTTTTTGCTGACAATGTTGATGATGCAGTATCGCAACTGGAGAAACTATACCTAGCCTCCATACAAGTTTAATTAAAAATCAACCACACAAAAACACAAATCATGACAAATCTTGTGTTAAGCGAATAGATTTCAGTAAATGGCATGCATATTAAAGAAACCACCTCTTATAAGTACTTAGGATATGAGATACGCATAAGAAGAGATAATCAAACATGCGAACTAAGCCGCAGCATAGAACTCACTTGGGTGGCATTCGGCAAACTAAGCTATGTTCTTAAATCAGAACTGCCTATGTGTCTTAAAAGAAAAGTCTTTACTCATTAACACTAGCCAACAAAGTAAGAAATAAAATTTGTGTTACCCAAAGAGCCATGGAACGATCGATGTTAGGCATTTCTCGTAGGGATCGGATCACGAACAAGGAAATAAGACGGAGAACAGGAGTGACAGATGACATAGAAATAATTATGACCCTTAAGTGAAACTGGGCAGGGCACATATGTAGAATGTCGGATAACAGATGGACACAGCGAATAATACAGTGGAGACCGAGACAAGAAGCACATCGAAGTAGAGGTCGTCCACCAACAAGATGGTCTGATGACATAAAACGGACCGACAAAAATTGGATGCAAACAGAAATACATGGAAAAGACTGAGGGAGACCTATATCCAGCAGTGGATAGATCCGGGTTAAATGATGATGATGATGATGAATCAATATAGTATCAGACTAATCAAATGTACTGCTCAAAATAATCAAATCTTACTAGGAGTCGTATCAGTTTATTTATGAACCAGCTGTATATGTTTTTCCTTGAAATAATATCACAGTATAAAGTATCATATTTTCTTTATTGTGTCGTATTTTTATAATATATATTTTACTCTAAGTTTAATGCGCGGTATACTGTATAAAAGTGTTCATATTCCAGCACATTACTTCAGGATTATCCGAAAAACCCTCCCAAAACAAAAACCAACACTCATCCATCAGTGTCTTTGCTAATTAGTGACAAATGCCAGTTTCCAACGTTCTAGTCATTAGTTTGTTTTGAAGGTCACTGTCGAGGCACATTGTTTGGTAATTAGAGCCTTAAAAGGGTGAGTATATTGGCATATCCTGCAATAATCATTGATTGTATAATGTGATTTTATTGTTATTGCATTTATGCTCATAGCATAATAGTTACGTTGGATGGCATGGCAATTCTTTAATAATGTTTACAAATCTACTTTTATTTAAGTCTATAATTATTACTTTTTATTTTTTTAAAGATTCATATTTAAAAATTAATTTGTATGATTGTTTAGGAGGTAATTTCGAAAAAAGATAATTAATGTTCAATAATAGTAATTTACGTAACAAGTTCAATAAGTTCCGAAAGTGATATTTTACGAGACGAGTAGGAAGTTTCCAGCCATTTTGTATTATCCTTATTTGTGTAACCATGTTTCCAATGATCATAGCATTTTCCATCTTCCACAATTCTCCCCAGCCCAACCTTGATAGCTATTTAAGTGGCATTTATGTCGCTATAAAGATTATAGCAATTTTTCTTCTGAACGATTCACTGCATTTCGATGTTAATATATCTATTTCTAAAGGATAACTCTACCAATCTTATCGCTCTCTCTCTCATTCTCTCTCTTTCTAATGCGCTATAGCTCAAATCGAGACTTGGCTTCCTCCAAACTATGCCTCCAACCATGTTCGTCTTGCTTCGATTTACTCCAGGTTCTCACGTCTAGCAAATTTTCCTCTCCTCTTTTCCGTGGCCTTCCTTTTGGTCTTGTACCCTGCATTTTACTCACATAGCCATACGGGTAGTAGGCTGCCTGAATGAAACTATATGGAGATATAAAAATATCGGAAAAGTAATGAAAGGCAGAATTTAGAAAAAAAGTCATCAGACCAATAATGACATACTCGGCAAAAACACAACTTGACACAGAGAGGACAAAAAGAATGTTAGAAACAGTGGAGATAAAAACCTTAGAGAAAAGTAAAGAGCATTAAGAACTAGGTAAGAAATAGAAGAGTAGAATGGAACGACCATAAGCCGAATGATAACAAATAGATTAGTAAAGACATCAAGAGACGGTTCCTCAATAGGAAGATGATCAGCAGGAAGACCACGAAAACAATGGAACGACAACTTACTAGAGGCACATTGAAAAACAGACAGGGTCATGTCGTCATAAAAAGAAATAGAAGTTCTTTATGTAAGTTAGATAAGAGCTGTAGGATGACCAGATTATGGTTAAATGATCAAGAAGATGATATATAGATGATCTTTTTACCAGAATGTTGAAGCTATCTTAATGTTAATAATGTGTAGAGGTCACCTCTCTATAAAAGACAAAAACTGATTTCCCGAAGCGCCCACAAATCATATATATAATTACTATATAATTATTTACTTACATATTGAGAATTGTCGAAGTCCAAACGAAATGTAACGATTATCAAATTCCTTCCATCTGATGTTACCTTATTCACAGTGTCAATTACCCGAGTTTCTAGGCTTAAATTGAAGAAATCAGTAGCTATTTGATATAGCTGACCTGTAATTATATAAAAAAAAGAATTTTAAGTTATAACTGCAAGATTAAGTTCTCGGCGGAAACATAGCCCCATAAGGTATTAAAATAGATGCCTAGAAATTTATGTAAAATACGCTTCCACAGCTGTTCTGACCTCATCATTTGATCAAAAACGCTCTTCATCCGTGAATTTTTTTTCGGTATTGAAACAGATAAAGCCGCTAGGGACCAAATCTGGTGAATATGGTGGAAGCTCCAAAAATTCTAACTTTAATTGATGCATTTTAGCTAATATCGAAATGCTCATATGACACGGTGCGTTGTGCTTATTAGATATGCTGATGATACAATACTAATAGCAGAAAATATTACAGATCTAAAAAGAATTTTAGATAAGGTTGTTGCAGTGAGTGAAGAATTTGGTCTGTCACTAAACATGAAGAAAACAAAATTCATGGTTATATCAAAGAAAAACATTAGACACATCAATCTAAACGTAAATAATAAGACGATAGAGCGAGATCAGAATTATAACTATTTGGGGGCAAACATTAATGAAACAGACAATTATAACAAAGAAATTAGAGTTAGAATAGAAAATGCTAGAAGTGCATTCAATAATATGAAAAAAATATTATGTTGTAGAGACCTCAGCCTAAATATTAGAAAACAAGTGCTAAAATGTTATGTATTTTCTGTTCTTTTGTATGGTGTGGAGACATGGACTTTAAATAAACAATGTCTCAATAAATTGGAAATACTTGAAATGTGAACATATCGAATAATGCTGAGAATCTCCTGAGCAGACAGAATAACCAATGAAGAAGTATAGAGAACAGCAGGGCGATACTGGATTCCATCAAAAGAAGAAAACTACAATATTTGGGTTATATAACACGTGGTGACAGATATGAATTCAGAAAACTAATAATGTAGAGAAAGATTCAAGGAAAACGCAGCATAGGTAGAAGAAGAATGTCCTGTTTGAGAAACCTCAGAGAATGGTTTGGATGCAGCTGAACTAAACCCTTTCGGGCAGTAGTATCAAAAGAAAAGCGTGATGATTGCCAACCTTTGTCGCGGAGATAGCACGTAAAAAAGAAGAGTTGTCCTTATAAAAAAGGATTTTGTTCTTCTGCAAATCGGATCTTTTCTCACGATTAACTAATGTAATTTTCAATACAACGTCGCGATGTTTTATAATTAATTTGTTTGTTCCACTAGATTGTTGTACTTTCGCGATCTGTAGCAGTGTATTTGGAAGGCGTACGTCGATAGTATTACAGTGTTGTTCCGTCTACCGATTTTCTATATTTTGGTGCAAATAATAATGTTTTATCCATTTATTTTTGTCCCCGATATGCGTGATTTAATTTATGACATTTTTGAAACACCCTGTATATTAAACTTTAATTTTGGTTGTCTAACGATATTCTTTTTTTGAACAATGTCTCTTTACCTCGTATATATTGCGTAAATCCTTTTCTAGTGCTACGGTATACCAAAACACAGCCTTCGTTATCAACATCAGTCAAATACATTGAGGGGCTCTTCATTTTCGGATACGACACCCTAAACTGAGCATGAAGGTTATCCATGCTGCTTAAAAAATCTGTAAAATATCTTCCGGTTGCCTTTATGGTAACGTCATATCTAAAACGAGAAGATTATAAACACAAGTATAGCAAAAGTAAAGTAATGCAAAATAATCGTCGTTTTATTAATATATATTATAAAATTCTATTATAATGGGATATAGAGCTAATCTAAAATGGCAATGAGTAACACCGACCTGTGGAAAACTTACTCAGAAAATAAAGATAACAGTACAAAATACAAGAATCTTCATTAAGCGACTTAAGAAAAAAGCCAATATTGAAGACAGTAAGCTTGACGCGCATCTGAACTAATTCAGAATATATTAGCAGACCTTCATGGATTGTTAAAACTCTTTAATATTCTTCTTAAGTTTGTTTCTTGTAATATTTTAATGTTATTTATAATCTTTAATGAGAAGTCACTACAATTTGGGTTTAAAATACGTTTCAATTTGAAATATTATGACATATAACGACAATTATTTTGCACTACAACACAAAATATGTAGCTGCAGCTGAACTATTACCCGTAATTGCTAAAAAATCGTACAAAACATCGTCCAAAAAACATCATAGTATCATCTACAGAGAGTGAAGTGACTTTTGCCAAAGCCGCTGCCAAGGAAGACATAATATTGTCTGGATAGGTTTGATGTGTATTAAATACGGTGAATTTATAGTCTGTTTCCAATAATAACTTCTGCCAAACATCTTCGCCGTATTCGAGCTAAAATTGTAAAACAGGATTAAAAATTTATACGTTTTTACCAAACATAAAATAAGAATGACCACAACATATGACAACGTTTAATTTTCATCTCTGGACCTTTAATTTTGTCACATTCTAACTATTTTTTTTAATTTCTTATATTCTGTTAACCTTTTTCTGACCATAATATCTTGACTTATTAGTATTGTAATTACGAGAAAACTCTTATAAGAGATTACTGACAACATGCACCCATAAGCTTAATTCGCTTGGGTTTACAGTTTACTTTAACCACTATCGACACTAATTTCATTTTAACTCGTTAGAGGTCGCTATTAGCATGTATCGGTGCATTCTTTTACAAATAATGGTCACCTGGATTGGATAGTCCTATAGGATTGTATACAGGAGCTCACAATAGCTGCAAAATACATCCAGAAAAGAAGTGAGCAACGCAAAGCCCAAAAAAACTTGAGAGGAAACTCAACTCAGAAGAGCCTACAATAATTATAGGAGACCTGAATGTGAGATCTCCCAACTGGTTCGATAGAGCAACCAACAACAACGGAAGACGACTTTGCGGCCATCTCGAAAACAGACCTAACACCTAGTACACAGTTAGTTAGGACCTAACACCTAATATAGAGCTAATAAAGCTAACAAATGCCAAAAAAGCCCCAGAACTTGACAACATTACAAACAGGGCGCTCAAAAATCTACCAACAAAAGCTATTGTTTACATCACCAACATAATAAGCAATATGCTCAAGCTAAGATATTTTCCAAACAGATGGAAGGAAGCACATGTCATCAGGATTGCTAAGCCAGAGAAAAATGGCAAAACTATAGACCTATCAGCCTATTATCATCGATAAGCAAGATAACGGAAAGAGTCATAATAAAAAGACTCAACGAAGAATTCCAAGCATTACGCACCATTCCAGAAGCTCAAGTCGGGTTCAGAAGCGAACATTCCTGCGAATTACAGGTACTAAGACTAACAGAATTCATAACGAAAGGATTCAATGAAAAAATGTACACGGCATCAGCATTTCTAGACGTCAGTAAAGCATTTGACAGAGTCTGGCGTGAAGGACTTATTTATAAAATGAACTCAATGGGATACAGCGAGGCGATGACATGCCTCCTTGCATCATACCTAGTCAATAGATGGTTCAGAGTTCGGATAGGGGCAACCCTATCCTAAGTCGAGACTCTGGAAGCAGGTGTGCATCAGGGAGCGGTGCTACCGCCGTATCTATACACCATTTACACGGCCAACACGTCAACAGAACCAGGATCTCTGTCTTCATGTTGACGACACAGCAATAGCTGTAAGCTGGAGAAACCCGGATCATGCAGCTAATCATCTGCAAAGAGCACTGAACAGATTCCAAAGATGGTGTATAAAATGGAAAATAGCCTTAAATCCCGACAAAACACAGGCTGTAATGTTTAGTCACAGAAGAAGTGTGCCAAACCGAGAAATCACGATCGGAAAACCCCAGTAGAATGGACCAACCAAGCAAAATACCTAGGAGTATTACTGGACAAGAAATTAACGTTTACACAACACATCACCCAACAAATATACCAAGCTAAAGCTTTGAAAAATCAGCTCTCATCGCTTATAGGCAGAAGAAGCAAACTGAGATTTAAAACTAAAATCAGGGTTGCAAATAGCATCATCCTGCCAGTTCTATTGTATGCGTCTGCTGCGTGGGGTCACACCTGTAAGACAAACAGTAAAAAATACAGACCACACAAAATCAAATGGTCAGAGATGCTCTCAAGATACCTAAATACGTACCACTGAGATACGTATACAGAGACTCAGGACAAACAAGGATTCTAAGCACGCTAGACGAGAGAGCATATGCAATATTTAACGGACTAAGAAACCACCCCAGCAGAATGCTGAGAGAGCTGACTAACTACAATGAGAACATAAGGAAGATACACAGACGACCTAAACAACAGATAGCTGGATATAGGGAGAATCCAAATGAATAATTAAAAAATGAGATGTTTGCGGAGATGACGGACTACCGATATGCAGTCAGTCAGTAAACACACCCCAAAAAAACTCTGGCGGGAGGGTACGCTTTTAGGTTTTTAGGTTAGGACTCTGGCGAGAGGATACAGGTACTTAGGTACTTAATTAAGGACAATATACACAGGGTATGTAAAGGCCCTATACACCCTGGAATGCACACCCCAAATACACGCACACAATAGAATAGGAAAAAATAGTAAGAACTGTTGCCAGGAATGTTAGAGTTCCGAAGCTCCAAGGAAGACCAAAAAAAACGTATTTACTGATTAATTTCACTTAGGTTTTACTACTATGTCCTTAAGGCATATCAAGTGTACTGATCTTTTCGCGAACTCCGAGCATTGAGACCATGTGCCACAAACATGGGCTTGATGGCCGGACCCTTCTCGGATGCGCGAGAAGAACAAAATTTATTTTACTAAATCGGCAGCTGAGTGGCCGGGCACTCACTCTTTTCCAGACGTAGAGTCGTTAGCTCAGTTTTTGTTTTTGTTTAGAGACTCAAGTCCCGAAGTCAAGTTAGAGTAACTTCTATAGAATCAGTAATGTAAATAGGGAGAAAAGCCTACATGTGGCTTCCCCTACAGATAGGTAGCCTAACCACAGTAAATAAAAACAGAAGGTGTCCCATTACCCAGAGCATCTTAAGTAACTTTCAGATCATAAGCCTCCTCACGTAATTCACAGGATGAAGAGGGTAGAGGAAAAGCCTGAGGGTCAGATAGGTACCATTTCAACTAGTGAAGTGTGACCGGTTTGATCTTCGGACATGTGGATCCCACTCTTACATTGGTATACACATGTTCCTTAGGGGCAATGTTGATCACTGCGTGTGTGTGTGTGTGTATGTGTGTGTAGGATTGTACATCGCTGCAATGAAAACATCAGGACGGTATACAGAAGACCAAAACAGCAGATAGCCGGATATACGGAAAACCCAAATGAACAATAAAGAGTGAGATGGTCGCAGTACAACCGAATGTGTAGTCAGAGAGAAAGCAAATCAAAAAAACTCTGGCGAGAGGGGGTACGCTTGTAGGTTTAGTTAGATTAAGTCCATTATACACGGGGTGTGTGATGGCCGTATACAACTCGTAATGCATACCCCACCACACGTACACTTTTAGGATAGTTTAGTTAGGGAACAAAGGATAAGATCTGATGGTCTGGTTTTTTATAGTTCCGAGCACCAGTGAATACCCAAAAGAAATTCTTGCTTTCTGTCTAAATAACTTTGAATTTTACATTAGAACTAGTGATTTCATTTTTTAATGTAACTCATAACTAATTCAAATATAAAATGCCCGTCAGGCCTTCTATATACCGCAGCTGCGGTCTAGGTCCCTCAGGCAGATCAAGTAAATCTGATCTATTCGCGAAATTGGTTTTTTTTTTAGGGACAAGTCCTGATGTCCAGTTAGAGTAATTTCAATAGAATCAGTAAAGTAAATAGGGAGAAAAGCCGATATGTGTGCTACCCCTACAGTTAGGTGGCCTACCCACAGTCATTAAAAATAGAGGGTGTTCCATTACCCAGGGCACCTTAAGTAACTTTCAGATCATAAGCCTCCTCACGTAAGTTACACGATGAGGAGGGGTGGAGGAAAAGCCTGGGGGTCAGATAGGTACCACCTCAACTAGTGAGGTGTAATCGGTTTGATTTTCGGACATGTGGATCCCACTTTACAATGGTATTCATATGTTCCTAGGAGCAGAATTGATCACTGTGTGTGTGTGTGTGTGTGTGTGTGTGTGTAGGTGTGTGTGTGTGTATAGGATTGTATATCCGAGACATACAAGGTAGCGGGGATTCGCCTCTGGATAGGATCGTACTTTTATTTTCGATTTGCATTACTTATTAGATTGTTAGGTGTGTTTAAAAGCCGGTGTTTATCATTATCTACTAAAATTATTATAGTTGCAAAAATATTTACATACACTACATTCACACATTTACCAAACGTAATATACGTATACGAAGAAAGTTTACCATTTATAAATACAATTCAAAAAGAACTTACATTTAAAAAAAATTACATGAACAAGTCGGTTCTAGATCTATAATCATTGTTTCTTTGAGAACAACCTATTTGCATTCTTTTAACTGTCATTGGTTATTTTCTCCATTTCTAATTCAATTAGACGAACCACAGATGAATTTAGGGTAAGCGAAACATTACTTTAGACAACCTTCCATTTACTTTGGTCTATAGACCAAAAAGACATAAAATGCATTGAAAACTTGTACTGGCATCAAACGGCACAGTTAAAAATAGACAATTCTATATCCAAACCCATACATATAAGAAGGGGCGTTCGACAGGGATGTGTGCTTTCCTCTTTCTTCTTTAACATTTATTCGGAAGCCATACTTCAAGAGTCTTTGGAGGATGCAGAGATGGGAATCAAGGTGAATGGAGTATTATTCAACAACATACGATATGCTGATGATGGTGTCTTAATTTGTGACAACATAGTGGATCTTCAACAACTTGTCACTATAATCCGAGAATACAGTAAGCGAATGGGATTAGATATTAATACCAAAAAGAACAAATTCATGATCATCTCCAGAAACTTGAATGCACTTGAAAACTCCACCATAACACTGAATACTAAGTTCATTGAAAGAGTGAGTAAATTTAAATACCTGGGATCGTGGCTTTTTGACGACTGGGCATCGGACAGGGAAGTAAAATGTCGCATTGAGCAAGCTCGACAAGCTTTCGTAAAATTTAAGAAGATACTGACTTGTTCAGAGTTCGATCTTCAACTGAGACTAAGGTTTACTAAGTGCTACGTACGGTCAGTGCTGCTATATGGCGTAGAGGGCTGGACACTCAAAACGAGGGGTATAAACAGATTAGAAGCTTTCGAAATGTGGCTTTATCGCCGTGTCCTAAAAATACAATGGACAGCAAAAATCACAAATATAGATGTCCTTAAAAGAATAAACCAAGTA